CCAGGTCCTTGCCAGCAGACCGTTTGGGTTCCAGCTCGAAAAACTATTAAAAGATGGAAAGATAATGAGCGCCGGAGGTCAACGAAGCAGCTTGGCAAGCAAGACCTTTATGCAACCCGTCGGAGGACTGCAGGCACCCGTGTTTATGTAAGCAGCATGCTTTTGGTGGGTTTGACCATCAAGCGTTCTTTAGTCTGTGCTATTCATTGGACAGCCCAACTATGACTAAAGACTTGGATAATAGAAGAGTTGCATTATGTTGTGTGGCATGTCATCCAATCGCAATTTTTTTTCGGAATAATATAGTTGAGCTCGAATCCAAACAAAAAAACGGTGGCCCTTTGTGTGGGTGCACATGCCTATGGCATCGTTTACATGCAAGGACAAACACAAATACGCAAGTCGACTAAGCCTTACGCCAGATCACTATTTGTGCACGAACAGGGGTTGTGCCTGACTTCCAGTGAGTGCTAAGAAGTTTGAATAATTTAGATTTGGAAAGCTTAGACATGTAAAAAGAAGCGGCTGCTTCTAATTCTTGGATTAAAATATATCAAAATGACAAGGGCAGGCCGTAGGTAAATAAGTAGAAGAGAGGCTGCAATGAAAATCACACATCAGAAAGTCAAAATGTGAAAAAGTAAATATTAGCGGGTTTTGGCAGATTTGCTTAACTTAATTGACCCAATTGTGAAAAAACTCGCGGCCTCAGTGGGTATCGGGCTCTCCTACCTGTAGTCTTCCGTCAGAAGTGGCGACAGTCACTTGAAGTTCGCGAGCAGGATCCACTGTCATGGACAGGATACGGAAGTTTCGACCACGTCGCAGAGACTTTGATTCGCCCACCTTGGTGTAACGTAAGTCACAGTTCACAGTGTCCAGATTAGGACCGGGTGTAGGCGGTGTCACGCCGAGGTGAACAGTAATGGCACCGGTGACGTGGAGGCAAATTAGCATGTCTGCTTGACGACATGCGTACACCTACAGAGAAGGCAGAAGGAACTTAAGATGTTGCAGTAGAGCAAGAACGCACGAAAATAAAGCAGCCGCAGAACACGGTAACCACGAGAGTAAACACCGAATTGGAATACCCGCATGAAGGACGCGGAGGACTGCTCCAGTCTGATAGAGCCCACGGGTTGGCACAAGACCATATCAAAAAAAACGACTTCACGCGGATACACAAGGATGATGTGCTGCTTGCGAAAACCATGAAACAGGATCTGCGTAGGATTCTCCATTGGAATCTCATCGATTTCCGAGAGTAGTTCTTCTGTAGGTCTAAAGTAGGAGAAAGAGGTCCAAAAACGCCAAAAAAAATAATAGCCACAAACACTTGACTAATCAAATAAACCAAATATTTTATAAAACGTGTTTGAAATGTATGAGCTAAAAGAGTGAGACAGAAGGGGATTAGAGGGCCAGCAGCCCTATGAAATAGGGAACTATGCATAGAAAGTCAAGAGCAGACAACCTAGCACCCTGAGCGGTTTGGAACGTGGTCTCACATCAAACTAATTCAAACGACTATTTAAACTGAAAGGCGTTGAAGTGCATAACAGAAGATCGAGTCCTGACTTTTGTTTATGGGCAAGTAAGTACACCCCAGTGGACACAATTAGTCCTTTGAAAGCGAAGCCATGGAGCGTAGACATAGTTTTTCCTGTCGCCTAAACACTCTGTCAAACCGTGTCTCGTCTAACGCCAGTTATGCGGGAAGGCCTTTCCTCGTGGCCTCTGAATTTTCCGGGCATCGTCCTTTCCACTTATTTGCCTACGGTTTCACGATTTGGCCACACAACGGACGAAGCCTCACTTGTCAGCAAGCAAAATTCGTCACATCATAATGCTGGTCTGGCCCGTGACCTTTTTATAAGTAGCCGTCCTGCAACATCGGTGCCGAGACAGGTTTGACCGCATCGTTGCCGCGTGGGCTGCGGCTACTTAATTGTCGGCTACATGAATATGGTTATTTCGTAATCGGCTTCCGCTTAAGGTCAATCCATCACCTGGTGTCAGTGAACACACCGTCTAGGCTAGAAGGCAGATCCTGTCTTCCTAGGACTCGCGTTATCGCGGGATCGAGACACTTTCGTAAAGAGACACAAGACCATGTCACACATTCCGAATGGACAATGGGACCCCTTTTAAAATTAATGAAGGATATAATTATGACAACCGACATGACAAGAAGAGGGGGAGTACTATGTAAACTCTATCCAGTCCCCTGCACGTTAGTCGCCACCCGACCAGGCTTCCGACCCGATCAAGGGCAGCTTATATCGCCAAGGAGACATAAGAAGCGGCAAATCGAGTGAAACATAAAAGCTATTAAGTTAGGGTGCTTTGGGAGTAATTGGGGTCTCGCGGAATTACACATCTAGAATTGTCATCGAAGAGATTGAAAGGAATGGGCACAACTGTGTTCATGTCTAATCTAATCACTCTACATAATGGCGCGAATTCTACGATTCCACGATTAAATATCTGGAACAGCCAATTACGAGGGCTTAATTAGTTCTCTGTTGCAACTACAGAGTCCGAGTACTGAATGTTTGAGTGTAGAGCCAGATGAATTCTTCTTCGGCATCTTTAGGTGGGCAAGGGCGCCGGATCGAAGTCACTAACACGACGAAGAGCATGCCAAAACTACTCCAGTCATATTTCGTGAGTGGTTTGGAATACCACCGCGATGTTGTCGCAACGAGTGTGCATTGAGTCATTTGCGACGAAGTCGGTATATTTCACACAAAAGCTAGTCTTTAGGCGGTGTTAGTCAAAAACCATTTAGTTTATGCG